TCCCGTACGAGCGTCCTAAGCCATAAGACCATCGAGATCGTACGTTTAATTGCGTTTGTCCGGTAAAAATTCTATCCGCAGTTTGAATAACTGCAAAATATGATATATATATATATATATATATATATATACATGTACATATATAGTATATACACATATGTACGGAGTATATACATATAATTCACTTTAAATTATTTAGGATTTAAAAGATCTAGCTTCGATCGTTATAAGATTGAATATGCGTATTTATTGTTATTTAATTTCATTATGGTCTTAATAAAATCATTTATTATTGTAATTGACAATATTATTTTATCTTATTTGAAAAGAACAAGCACACTTTATATTTATAGATAATTATGGATAAAATAATCATTTGTGCAAAATCTATGCTAAAAGGCCACGTATAAAGTAAATATGAAATAGGCTTACACTAGTAAATCGTTCCAAGGATAAATTCATTATCTTTCCGACTGTAATTGTTAACTGATTTTGCGATCTCATTATCAAAAACAATATAATTCGATTGGTTTTAGAATCTGATTCGTACCAGAGGGAAGCATAAGCAGCATCTCCGATGCTTTTACTCTATTAAATAATTATTCTTGTAACATTTATATATGTATAGATTGTTAATTGGCAAATATTTTGAAAAATACATAATATGAGAAAATATATTTCAGATAAAAGCGATTTCGAGTTTGGGTGATGTTTATTTTCGTCACATTTGTGTTTTTTCATAAAGGCATTAAAAAGATTGCTCTTCTTTTCTAAATGGAATTATATGATTTTTTATTTAATAATATAATTTCTCTAATTATTTTGTATATAAAAATATTAAAATGTTAATATCAAAAAAACTATTAGTTTATAAGATATTTGACACCATATTCCTGCATTACATTACATAAAATATTAAATGTTTCATAAACTACTTTTTAATAACCGTAAATTAATATTTTCATGAATAAAATAATTAAAAAATATTTTGCAGAGTAATCATTTAAAAAGTTTGAGGGTGACCTTTTTGACTTATCCATTTATAAAAAACAACATGAATCAAATTCGTTCCCTCGAAATAGTTCCATTTACATCTGAAATATTTTTTACGTACCATACGCATTTTTCAAGATATTTATTTGAGATAATTAAAATGAGATTCTGTATATGCATGTGGCTATGTGTATATGTGTATATACAAACAATTATATAATAATATTATAATATCAAAGTAAGTGATTAATCGTTCTGATGTCTAACCTTAGCGCTCAAGTATTCCCCAGCAAAGCAAAATATGAATGCTTCCATATTTATGGACAAGTAATATAAGAGAACCCTAATTATATTTTTCAAAACGTCAGGTCGACTGATTGACTGAAATATTAAGGAATATGCTAAGAGTAACGAAAAGGTAACAAAATGCTGTATAATTAAAAGCACGAAATAGTTCTCCTTTATTATACAAATTCAACAACGGTTTCTATAGTCTATATTATTCTTCATCGTAAATTTAAACAAAATTATAATACTTACTGCGACAATTGTAAAACCTAAGCAGCAGATAATCAGAATATCCGATACAAATAACACCATTGCAATATACGAATACAGATGTTCGATATGCTCTGAGAAGGTAATGATTTTTTGATGTTCTTTTATTATTTCTTTTACTGTGAAATGACTCGAGCTGGCCTTGTCTTTCTTCGGAACAATTCCCATTAAACTCTCACGCAGAATATCGATTTGACCGCCTATATGCAATATCTAAAATATATATATATATATATATATATATATATATATATATAAGTTTTTTTGAACTACTGTGCTAATGGATGTTGAGAAAAAATATTTTAATGCATAAATATTTAATTAACATCGTTTAAAATATTTTAAAATACAAAAAGCAACAGATAGAATGGTCTATATATTATTTTTTATAATATGGACAATAATCAAATATTTCATCAATAAATTGATCACAGATTATTAAAATATAAGAAATTAATATTATGAATAATAAAAATAATACTTAGAAACAATATCTACTTACATAATAGAACTTACCAGACTTATGAGAAAAGCATTGAATACACTTACAAGGTTGGAACATAGCAAGAAATGAAAAAATTGGCTAATTATAACAGATTCATATACGAATCTTTGATTAGCGTCAAATGGCAGATCCATCTCTAAAATGAACAATCGTGTGGAAACATTGGAAGCATTGCCATCATCTACGTATTTCACAAGGATGTGGGTGCTACAGAGAATTACAGCTATCGTATGAAGAATCACCAACAAGTTAACAAAGCGCTCCGATAGTTTGGCATTATGCGATATTACGAACATACTAAATTTTGTGTTGGAACACTTTTCCCTGTCTATCGCCATCATCATTAATATCTTATTGAATGTTCTACAAAAAGTTTTATTGATTATAATCATAACAATCCGCAGTGAAACATTATGTGTAAATTATCGATGAAAAATTTATTGTTATACAATAACTTTCGAAATGTGTGTCCATTTATCTTTTATTTTTGCATAATAATTCAATACGGCAATTGTTTTTAATTCTGTTAACGTTTGCACAATTGCCGAATAAATCACTTTACCATCTAAAGTGGTAATTGTTGAAATAAGACGTAATGTTAAATTTATTTAATTAATTTACTTTGGATATATTAAATAATTTTTAAAACAAATTTTTCACTGATAGTACTTATACTATGTGTCTCACATTGTGTATCTCACCGCTGCTTACACCAAAAAAGGACGAGTACAATAAAAAATCTTGTCATTGTTACTGCTATAGTTAAAATTATTATGATCTCGAAAAACTCCATCAAATGAAAATGTTTTACAATGTATCGATATTGACCAATTTGCTCGAATACGATCGAAATAATCCAGAACAGTCGACGTAACCAAACGAACGACGTATTCGGCCAAATGCCAAAGATACGAAATAAAATTTCTGTAGCTGGGCTAACAGTATATTTTACTTTCATATTTATAGTATTATTACTTTCTTATTATTTTGCACTGTTAATTTGCATCGAATCCAAAGAATAAAGAAATAAGAGAATAAAAAAAAAACAGGGATGTTACGAAAAACACTTGATCGATCGTGTGATGTGCACGATGTAATGTCTTTGTACAAACTAAGAGCTTGAAAGAGAACGAGAGTGGAGGCGCCCTTCCACATAGTTTATTAAATATTTTAATCGCAATGTGTACAGATTGCGTGTATATTGTCGGTAAAAAAAAATAAATTTCCGGATGGTCGTTCTCCCTCTCAAATTCTTGGACAAAACAGCGGTGTAACTCGTAATGCATTATTTTCTTTAAAAATTCAAGCAATAATAGATGGCAACACGCGACATTCACAGGACGTTAAACTCGGTGATCATAAGAAAAGTTTTGTATATCTGTGGGAGACTTTTTCGAGAAAGAGGGTGGAGAAAGCGAAAGCTTTTCTTTTCTGAGAATTTATTTCCTCTATATTGAAAGATATTCTTCCTCGCGCATTATGTAAGTGCGGCTAGAGTGCACGCGTTTACAATTCATTCTCCTGAAATATGTAAATCGCATAATTTTGGAAGAAGTTCTGGTGCATGTCAGATACAGGTTGCGTACAATGATCGTGAATAACTAAATCAGAAGCAGTAGATGGAGAACAAAGTGCTGAGTGAAGTTTTCTATTTCTAAAAATACGGCGTTTTTTGACAAAGCATAGTACTTATAAGCTATAAACAGTATCGTAAAATGCAAAAAGCTTATGTCAATCTTTAATAAAAAATTGTTTAATATCATTATATTGTGTTAACGTTACAAAAATGTAAGCAAATATCTTTATGCAAAGGAACATTGGTTAAGTAATTATTGTTATCGACATTTTGAGCATAAAAGAAAAATTAATTGATTTAATTTTATTTAAAATAAACGAAATATTATTTATAATATCATAATAAATAGTAATTGTTTTAATATTGTTATTACTAATTTTTTTCTTACGTATATTATAATTTTATGCTATTAAAGAATAGTAGAAGAATTGCCAACACATGATACACATAAATGTAACTATTGTAGTATATTCGAATTGAGATAACTTTTCATTTCTCCAATGCACCCCTATATGGTGTTATACTACAAGTTATAAGTCATGATCACAGAATGTACATACTTTTTATAGTAAACATTGCACATTTTTAATGACTTTGTTGTATTAAAGGATGGAATTGCAAATTTTTAAGAAAAAAGGTTAGATAAAAGATTAAATAAATAAATTATTTTTTTATTTATAGATATTTACTCAATTATAACTGTAGATCTACGATTACATAATTGTAAAGAAACAGAAAGTTTAAGGTATTTTTAACTTTATTTATTCCTTTTCTTTTCTTCTTTCTTTGTTTCATGATAGGATAAGGTGACAACAACAAATGGTGAGACATGAATGCAAAACGTGCTGTATGTACACAATATTAAAATGAAGTATCACTCAAAAAAACGGAAATCATAAAATAGGAACAATATTATACATGAGAAAGAGGGAAGCAGCACAGGATTGTATATTGTTCGATTTCATTTAATAAGCATTGCGTATCTTGGCTTATCGATCTATACTTGATAGTCTGAATTTATATATTCTTATTCTCTACTAATGCGCATAATATACGCGTGCAAGTGTAACAGATAAAAGGAAATGGTAAGTAATACTTCAACGGTTTTTGTTAATATTAATTTATGTGCAAATTCTTTAATAATTAAATAATACCTATTAACAATAAATGCTAGTTAGAAATTGAATGTAAATATAATATAGCTTCAACACATCGCAAGTAGGACGGATATATAGGACCCTGAAGTTTTTATAATCTGTAAGAATATTATTCAATTACTATAAAATATCAATGTACGTAAAAATTAAATATTTAAATTTAAATTAAATATTTAAATTAAATATTGATGTAAAAACTGATTTGTTTAGCATTGGACTTATTTTAATAATAGAAAACAATATAAATATTATAATAAATGTTAATAAATGTTATTTCTTATTAATAAATGCGAGTATAACAAAATATAGGACAAAAATAGAGCAAAATTAATCGAGGCAAAATGTAATATGCAAACATCTTAATAATCGAAAGGCGGATATGTCTATATGTTTTTATAAGATAACGCGACCACAGACGGAGATTATTATATTAAATACATTAATCCATACCCGACTGTCAAATATGTACACTATTTCCGTTTTCGTGTATTAAAAATAAAATTATTTTGAATGTTACTTTTGGTCTACATGATAAATAAAATAATTAATAAAAATCAGATGTTTTTTTAAAATAAGTCATAAATATATTTCTTAACTTTAATCTCCGCATTACTATTTCATTTACAGTTTCTTGCTTATAACAAATATTTTATTCAAAATATATTTTTTCGGTATACAATAAATTAGATCAATTATCCCAACAATTAAATTTCAACGTTTAAATAAAATTTCATTCTATTGACGTTTTACACTTTAATGTGATTAGGGTTATATTTTATATTTAAATTTTATTATAAAAAGTTAAATTTTATTTTAATTGTTGTTAATTAAAATGTTTAGAGAATGGGTATTACAAATCATTATGAATAAGAGATAAAAACTAAGTAATAAAGATTTGTACACATAATATAGATGTGATAAACACACATAATTCTCTAATTTTTTTATTATGTACCATAAATTTCAATTCAAATAATTAATTTTACAGTTAAAATTTTAACTGGAAATGAGTATAGAGAAAAAAATGAATTCTTAAATGCTTTAATCCAAGAATATTTTATGCTTAGAATAACGTCAAGAATAAACAATTTCCGATTAACAATAAATTATTCGTGAAATAAAATAAATTTTATTCTTAGTTCGAAATAAATTTTATTTCAATAAAAGGAAAAAGTTGCACTTGTTCCACATTAAATATGCTTAGATTAGAATTATTTTTTCTTTAATGATATCTTTTGTCAACTTATTTCAAACCCTCAATATGCTTTTTAGTAACATCAAGGTGACAGATCTCATTGCTGCAATAAGTGACGATAGCTTTGTGAATGAAGTATCACATTTATAGAGTATGCCTCTTAATGCATGCCGTACAAGCTCCCAAGGAAAAATTGAATCAAACTTGAATTATATCTTCTACTAACGTTCCTTCGCGACGGTTTCTTTCCTCATCTCACCCATTTAACTTTGGATAGCAGATCCGCAAACCCGCCGCGGAAAAATTCGCCCGCGTGTATAGGCGCCTGTTCGTCAAGTCGCAGTGACAAAGTCGGCCGGCTCTTCGCGCATTCCCATTTGCAATATAATTGACAGAAACATTAGAACGAGCTGAATATGTTATCCGCTCTTAAAGATTGAATCACATTTAGAGATAGAATACAATTTTAAGAATAAAGCATACTTTGCACAAATCTATATATCTATTTATGCATGTATCTATTTATTATTGATGTCAGTGAACATTTATAATTGAAGAGAACATTTTATACTTAAATGAAAGTAAATAGTATTCAAGAATAAAAATATATGTGAATTAGGAATTCATTTTTTTCTGTGTATATAAGACAAAAAAATATGATTTAATTAACTGAAATAAATATAATATGTGCTATATGTAGCTTATTTCCATTAAAAAAAATCAATTAATTCAATTAATTATTTTTTTGTGTTAAGTACTCATTTAATTTTGTAAGAAAGAGTTTTTTATTTCCAAATTGAGACATTAATTTGAGGATGCCAAAATCACAAAGCGATATACTTTAGAACTTGTAAAAAAAATTTTTTTAGTCATAAAACTATTTTATAATTTAGACTATTTTATTTTTTTTAGTTAAATGCAACTTTTAAAGGCCCTGTAACAGATTCCAACGGATCCTGTTCTGAGTGAGCAGACCTACAGTTTGAGAAGAGTAGCAACCTATTTACACACTTGAAATCTTATTAAAATCAACCTTGAATTCGAAATTTGGTAATCTTTTCACATTAATTGGACTGTATTTCTTAAAGCATATATCATAGAGTTAAATAAATTATTGCATCGTGTTCAGCGACCAAAAAAACATACGGTATCCTTTTAAAATCTAGTTTAAGCCATTTTTGCATCAAATGTGTTTATTAAGGAAAATCGAAACTTTGATTAAAAAATCGTTTACTAGCAACCTCCAAATCTTAATATTATTTGATAAAAATTTAAGGGTGTTCTTTTGGCATAAGATGGAAGCTTTTGAGCTAAGTGCCTGATTAAAAAAAAAAATTTTTTTTTGACAGTCTCATGTACATGCATCTATATCATAATTTGTAATTATTTAACCTGCGCGTCGAATTTTCTCCGGACTTACAA